TTTGAGTCATTTGTTGTTTGTAGGTTAGTAAAACCTTGATGGTTCAAATGTACTGTATGTGTTGCAGAAATATATCTCATTGCAAAAATAGAAATATCTAAACGTTTTATTAAAATATCTTCAACTGTATTTGGCTTGGTGTTTTATTTCTATATTTTCATTAATTCTATGTGGACTTTTTTTTCTTACTGTCTATATCAAATGCTTCAAGAATCATCCTAATCAATTTCAAATTGATTTGTAATTTGTACCAAGCAAAGTGATCATTTCTCATTCCAAAATAATTACTCTCATCAATGGAGCTGGTTAATATAAGTTATACATCGTAATAAGATCTTGTAAAGAATCATCCCACTCTTCATTTTAGTTAAATAAATTATATTTGCTAATCATGCGTTTTCTCACAAATGATGTCATACTATACTATGCAAGAGAGGAAATATAATTTTTATCAATTTGAATAGGATAATTTTGGCATACAAGTAAATTTTTAAAATTATAAAAATAAATGTTTACTGAATAAAACTTGTTTGACAATTCTTTTTTGATAAGTATATTTTTTGACCTAATAATTCTACTATATTTGTCCCTGTATAATACAATTTCCATGGTTATGCTCTTGGGCTTGACACCAAAAGCATGTAGGGTGGATCTTAGCTCCATCCTACCCTGATAGTTGAATCCATGCACTATTTAACTGGGCTCCTCATATATCTTTCTTGAGTATTACATTTCATTACAGTAGTTAAAGACTAATAAAGCAGTAACTATTCATTTTTTATAGATAATAATAATTAAAATTTACTTTTACGGATATCATCCGCCTTTATAGCTCAGTGGTAGAGCGTCAGTCTTGTAAACTGAAGGTCCGGTGTTCGATCCACCGTGGAGGCACCTTTTGGACATCGGTTTCGGCGCTATGACAGACTGGGCCTGACTGTTACACCTTTTGGACATCGGTTTCGGCGCTATGACAGACTGGGCCTGACTGTTACACGGCCTGAGGGCAAGTTCCGTGACACATCCTCGACAATCGCTTACTTAATTCACAGAATCAGAAGGCTTTAATCAATGTATAGGATTTTAATATTTCTTACTTTTATGATGAAAAAGGTTTAGCTTGTCCCACGATTCATGTCTTACTTCCCCATCCCGGTCATAATATAACAAATTAATCAGCATGTTTTAGCTGGAAAACATTTGGCTCTTACAGTTGTTCCATCTCCCGCAGTGAGTAGAAGCAACTTGTACAAGTTATGTCATGTTCCAGGGGCTGACACCGAGGTGTGCCCAATCTTAGTGTTTACACGTGATCTAACCACTGTCGGAGACCCATGCTACAAAAATAGCTGAGAATCTCTTCCCCTGATTCTAAGTTACGTATAGGTTATAAATAACCTTACGTATTATATCTATGACCTTGGTTTTTGTGGCATTAGCTATAACTTATAGATAAACAGCTAATGACACAAAAACCAAGGGGATAGAAATGATGCACAAGGTTTATAAGTCCACATTCGAGAGCATGGTTAGACAGGGACCAAAGATTGCAAGCCAACTGACATCATTAGATGTAATTTCTATCTTCAGACAGATCGAAAGATCAGCTCATGGTACTCCCATGGTCAGATAATCATACTGTGTTCTGCTATAGAAACCGAAAGCTCTTGTATTCCAAGTTTACCTTCCAACCACGACCTCATAACAAAATATAAATTTGATGTCTGCACTGCTTGTGTGCGAAATTTCTACAAGTATGGCAATTGACTGGTAAGAGTTTACATGAAAGATACATTTCAAATATTCGCGTCCTGTTTTATACGAGTAAACGAGGGGCAAGCAAAAACTCAAAAAATTATGGATAGACTTCGTCAAGCCATAAAAAAATGAAACTAGCCCTATATTCTATCTCTATATCCCAAAAGTATCACCATGGTAAAACTATCATACATCATCTTAAATGTCAAATGGACTAAAACAAATTGGGCTACATGGGAATGGGATAATCTACAATCAAACATTTTGTTATACTTGAAAATCGTGACTGAATTGTTTCATTCTCTTCCATCCAAAACAATGTTATGCAATCATTTGATTTTCCATTAAATAAAATGATAGTTAATCATCATAACATGGTCATTTGAAACTAAATATAGAGGTTTTAATTTTTTCCTATTTCAAAATTTACAACGGTATCTTGAAAACTTATACTCAATCCTACAAATGAACAAAAATTCAAGTGAATATAAGTTGCATCTAACATGATATCATATTCACACATGAACAAATAGATAAAGATATAAGTACAAAGCAAAGGTAAGATATTATCGTGGGTTAAAATAAACTTTTTTTGTGATATTTTAAATCTTAATGTATAATTGAATTAAGATCTTCAATGTTGCACAAGCAACTCATTAATCTAAGAAGTCAAAGCATCTAGCTGTAGAAGCACTTTTGACCTTTGTGTGAAAAGCATTTTTTTTGTTTTAGCCTCAATCATCTAGGTATTCATAATATTCAAAGATTAGAAGTTTTGTCTTTCTTGAACCTGACAAAAAATTTCTTTTTGACCTTGTTGTGCATTCAAAATATTTCTAGTATATGTATTTCTCATATATTTTGAAAAATAGTCTACCCATACAACGTAGCACAATTTGTTTCTGAGATACTCCCTCAAAAGTGTTAGAAGTATGGGAGATGAGAAATCAATAAAACATCAAATTAGTTGCAACTTCTAAGGTGGTGGCAACATTGTATTTCAAGATAGTAATAACTATTTATAGCAAGGTAATGATGACTATTTACTAAAGCGATCGCAAGCTAAAACAGAACAATCATGGGGATTAGATAAAATTGTTGATAATAGTAAAACGTAGGCCCAAGGAGGAAGAAAGTTTAAATCACTTCTCTAGATTTAGAGAGTAATCAGGTGAAATTTCTCAAAAGTTTGACATTAGGTTTATCAAGGTTTTGACAGTTATTGTCTAGCAATGTTCTCAAAGTTTTGGCGTTTTTCAATTAGGAGAAGTTTCTCAAGATTCATGCGATGATATTTAGTCAAGCCACAATTTTTTGTAAGGCAAGTTTTCTCAAGGTTTAGTTTTATCTGGTTTTAGCTGATATACATTCTAAGCTTTTTGCAACCGACTTAAACTTCCTAAACTACAAGTGACGGATACAGCGTAGCAGTAGATTTTCAGCTTATTGATCAGCTCTACATTCAAGCAGTTGGCGTTTTCAGACAAGAAAAATGTGAATGCAACAACGTCGCTTTAGTCTTCATCGGTTCACTCGGAGTGTTGTGATGAACTTTATTCCAATCTACTTCAATGTTATCAGTGATATAAATATCAGAGTCACATTGCACAGACGTGCCTAAATATGAATCGTGCTGTCCTTATTTTCTCACCTGACCTCATATCGGGTTTTTTTTACTATATAATGTCGTATTCTAACACAACATCATGATAGTATAAAACTATTTAACCAAGTCTGTAGAAATCTTCTGATAATTTGTACTTTACTAGTCTAGTTAAGAGAGAAAAAAAACTTTTTTCATACTCTTAGACTGAATGTGAAGTATTTATAAAAGTTGTAACTTTATAACACGTATTCAATATACATCCAATGATAGATTTCATGCTATACTAAATTTAAACTTAAAAAATGTCAAAATCATACAACCGGGGATGGGAACGAGGCAACTTGCTTTTTAAAGTGCTACGTAGAATGATATTCTCTGTCCAAGAAGATATTGTCGATGTATATGTTTCACGAGAACTCTTATTGAATATGTTGTGATCAATGGTTACAGAAAAGGGAGGTCCCATCAAACCGAGAAGGGAACAAGACAAGCAGGAGAATCATCTAAGTTGGAAAAGCAGACTTTCCATACATCTACTTATCCAACGGTTTGAGGAAAAACACTCTTACAAGGCTAAATAGTTTAAAATTGTAGTCTTCTCTTGCCCTTCACTATGTCAACCTATCTTCGTTTTTGAGAAAAGACAAGTAAAATTTCTTGATATTTTGTCAATAAACAGTTCGTAAGACATTCTTCTGATATTTGTTGTAACATTTTCAATGTTAGCAATACGATGTTGTAAATAAAATTACGGATCCTAGTGACATCTCTGAACGAAGTCATATGGGATTCCATTTTCTGCAAAATACTCGGAATGGCCACTATCATAAATATGATCTTCATAGTTGTGAGAGTTATTTTAGATTGTGGCAGGAGTTAATATCGTTGACAAGGTCAAAGTGTGATGTATATTTGGGTTCAAACTATTGTGATGAATAATGTATTTTTCCACCCCACCTCCACATTCTTCTTATGAGGTAGAGATATTTAATTCCGAGAGAAGATTTGGAGGAAATGAGCGAATATAGCAAGCGTGGCAGATTAGGTTGATGCTTCCGAACTACAACGCTGGATCTAAATTGTCAGCATAGAGATACATGTTACAGTCACGACAGATTAGAGACTTATATCAAATTCCTAACTAATGTGAATATTACTATAGATGTTTATGTTTTGACCATGCTTGCAATTTCAGTTGTCTGAGCATATTGTGATGGTGACATTTCCACCACAACTTTTAATAGCAGTAAGCAATGAAGCAGGCAATAACAAGCAATTGAACAGAAACTACCGATGTCCTCATGTGATTTTCCCAGCTATATACTAGATCCGGATTAATGCAAACTCTTTTCTTGAGTCCTTGCTTCCATTAAATTAATTAATAAACGAATTTACGGGGAAAAAGAAATACATGCACTCATAAAAATGTAAAGAACGGCAGGTCCCTCTAGTGGACGCATTTTTACATAGCAAAGGTGATGAATTATATTGATGCAGTCATCGAGACCTGCACGGAGAGAAGGTCGAATTGACGAAATTGTCATCATATTACGCACCTGTCAAAGCCAGATGTATTTAAGTCCAGCCTATCCTTCAGAACCCGAATCGAAGTGGAAGGTGCACTGAATAAGCCGTGCACTTAAAATCCGGAAATCCTGTTACGAAAGAAATGTTCCATTCGGTCGGTAGCGGTAGCGCCAAAATGCTGCCTGGTTGAAGTAATACGTCACAACAGTGCTGGTTGAGGCAGATCAGAGGTGACAGAACAGACTCGTTGACACTGGCAGGCAGGCGCATTGTACCTCAGGGACCGTGTGCTTCAGCATAGCATGTAGAGGAATCGGGCTGGAGTATATTGAACGTGCATCGGGTTTCCTGTCAAGCTCTTTTTTTTGGGGTTGGCTGTGGATTCGACGGTGGATTTTGAGCAACATTTGGACCGCGAAGTCTCGTTTGCAGACCTGGGAGCTGGCGTGGAGGTTTTGGGGTCAGGGGAGTTTGCTGGAGTACTTCTGCTTGGTATCTGTTGTCGAATTTCTCGTGATGTTATTTCGTCGAGGTTGAGCTCGACGTATAACTGTGCTTGAGCGAATGCATATCGGTTTGGCGCCTCGTGAACGAATTGCAAGTTTGAAGCAGATGATAATGAGACGAGCCTCCACTAGGTGTGGATAGTCGAGGGGCTGAGAGCATTTTAATGTGCGTAAGGGGCATATACGTCGGGATCGCTGTTCAAGTTCTGTAGAGTAGGGTTAGGAAGTTCGAGATAATGGCTAGCGGGAGGAAGAATTTCAGGAAGCGTTCTGTCGCTGATCGGGAGGAGTCGCCCGAGAGTTCACATGAAGAAGACGAAATACGGTTAGTATTTCTGATTAGCCGTGCCTCCGCATCCATTGATTCCTAGAAAAATGTGTAGAAGATCCTCTGCCGTTCAAAATGTTGACAACCTCTGTCTCCAAGCCCTATTTGGGTGCATTTTTCTTGGTGCTTCTGATTGACGATGTAGATGTGGTGACATGGTTCTCGTGTACGGCGTTATGGTGTTTGATTCCATTTGCATAAATAGCCAGCATCCTTTCCAAAAAAAATTCTTGATTCTTCTTCACCTCCTGCTCCTGCCGCCGGGCGGGAACGATGTTCATGAGCTCGAACGCAGCCTCCTGCCGAGCAGTTAGAATATATGGTGAATTTTAAACGTTACGATGCCTGCACTAACGCAACGATTTAGGTTGGAGATATTCTGGATAGTCAAGTTAGCTCCATTATTGTTAATGAGGTTTTCATCTCGGTCATTTGCTGTGATTATAGCCATCTTAAGTCCATGTTGTATTCGCAACTCTCGCTCATGAACAAGGACTGATAATAGTCTGTTGCAGATCAGCATTAGAAGAAGTAAAATTTCTTCAGAAGCAGAGAGTTCGGCCCACGGGTGTTGTCGTGAACCCTGTTGCCCTGCCTGCCGACAAAGTGGTCGTGAAAGAGAAAGAGAAGCCAGAAGGCGAAGGAGAAAAGGAGGAGCTTGTTTTGCAAGATACCTTTGCACAAGAAACAGCCGTTACAGTGGAAGATCCCAATATGTAAGTAACTTGTGACTTTTGAAGAGACTTCCTTGGTTGCGGACGGAGATGGGATATAAGATGGGCTTTACATGCTGCTCTGCAGCTTGGTTCACTTGAAATTCTCCAATTGTGACAATCAGATACATACAAGTTGATTGTTATAATCTGATAACAATATGATAACAATCTGATAACAGTCTGTGTGGACGTCATTCAGGTTGAAGTACGTAGAGCAGGAACTAGCTAAGCAAAGGGGACGGGAATATGGTGTTGTTCCCGAAGAGGTTAAGCCAGCGGAAGACGACCTGTACATAATTCCCGAACATTTGAAGGTCTGAGACAACCATCTCTACTTCTTCTGAAAGAGGATCGGATCGTCTTCATTTAAATGTATCATGCTTCTTGTGTTTGGAGAAAATGTGAAGACTCTTTACTGTGTAGAAAGACACAGTGGATGAATAGAAGTGGATTAGAGAATGACGGTGGGTATCCATAGCTAAAATCAAGTGTATAGTTGGATATCATATCATTGATTACCGAGGGGTGAATCTAAAGAACTTGATGGCGTTTTGGTCTTATACTGTGCTTGTAAAGGTCAGGAGAAGAAATGCGGAGGAAAGTTCAACCCAGTGGACGACTGGCATAGCAGAAGTCCAACTTCCTATAGAGTGAGTACTCCTTGACATTTATAGAACTGATGCTTCCTAGGATGGCAAAAGTTTAGGCTTTACCAGGCCAGATTATGTCGAGCTCACGGAAGGATCTCGTTGTTGCTTCTAGGTACAAGTTGAAGAACATCGAAGAAACCGAGGCAGCCAAGAAGCAGTTGCAAGATAAACGTCCCTTCGTGGGTAGAGGAAGGTGAGTGTCACGCTGTAAAGCTTGTTAGCTTGAATCTACCGTGGACTGCACATTTGTATGGTTCCTTGTTTCCGCTAGTAGTTGTTACTTCATTCTACTCCCAGTGACTCGTATTTATTCCTGCACAGCACAGTTAATAAGTGCTATTGTTATCGTTGTTATGTTGATTTTCCGTACTTTACTCGAAGCCTCAGATATTTGAAGCAGATTTTTTAAGGTCTTTCAATTGATCGAATGTACAGGGTTCAATCCAGTATTCCTGCAAGTTACAGCGCCGATTACTTCCAGCGAGGTCGCGAATACGCAGAAAAGCTACGAAGAGGTACACGCGGTCTTCGCATTTCCCAGTTTTTAAGTCAATTAAGTACACTTGAACTGCTAGTTGATGGCTCACCAGTAACTTATGATGACTGAATATGTACAATTTACAAAGTGTAAACCCCAGTAATGTGTCCAATGTTGGTGTGCTCATATCCACGTGGCTTATATACTATATTTCAGAGCATCCGGAACTGTACAAAGATAGGGAGGGTGGAGGTGGAGGTGGAGGAGGAGGAGGACGTGGTTCAGTGGGAGAAGCTCCTCCGGATGGCGCACGGGATATGGGCAATCGTAGACAAGCAGCCACGGATGAGATAATGCTGGAGCGGTTTCGCAAGAGGGAGAGGAGCCGTCTCATGCGCCGCTAGTTGATAATTTTCTAGGGTCAATTTTGTGACTCCATTTTTTCGTCAGTGCAAGTTGTGCAGGCGGGTCTTGGTCTGTCGGGTTGTATTGTGAGCAACATGAGGAGTTGATGAAGCCACCTCAGAAATTGTATAATACATGTGTCTGATCAAAAAGTTGTTTACGGGATGCAATAGCCCTTACTCATTGAACACTTGTTCTGTTTTCCTGGATTCTTTCTGCAATTTGTTTGATTTGTGTCCTTCCCCCTTAAATACCTCAGGTCTGCTCCCTATTGCAGCCTCCAGCTCTTGTTTTATTGCCGTCCTCCGCTCACTGTATTGTCACAACGTAACTATATGATATTTGTCTCGCTAACTGTAGCCTCAAGTCTGCTTTCGTTCAACACTACCTCGCAGACGTACGCTGTCGGTGGTTAAAAATTTGGTTAAGTGTAAGTATACATCTTATCTTACGCGAATCATGTTTTCCGTGCAGTTCTAGTTCCTCGCTGAGTAAGCTTGTAACAGATCAAATTGCGGGAATATGAAGTTCAATAAATTTGTAAATAAACGTTGTCATCTTTTGGTCCCGAGATAAGTGAGCTGACCGATGAAGCTAAAGTCTTAATGTCTGGAAGCTCCGCACCAATTGGGAATGATATCCGCTGTATTTGAGGATGTTTTTTTACTGTCCTTCATCAACCTCTCTTCATTCCCCATCTATCCTCCTCCTTCCTTTGCTCTCAGTCAGTAGCACGGACGGTATTACTCTGCCGCTTGTGTATGTATCAATCATACAATGTGGGTCGGATACAAGCCTTCTATTATCCGTTCATACTTCCAAATATTAAATCTTTGAAAGATTGCAGCACCTGATCTCTACCCATCAAGATATTCCGCTTCAACGATAACAAACTCTGCATTTTATTTGGGTATACGGGTATCCTTTTGTGGTCGATCTTGAATTTGGATGATGTTTACGTGGATTTCTCCACATGGCCCATTGATCCGTTTGTGTGACACGCAACCGCTGGTAGAAGTCCGGCTTCGACTTTATTCTAAATACTCGTTTACGTGATAAAATCAAGAGCTTCATCTCGTTCTTGAATCAGCAAAGAACATGTAAGCTTAACATGTAAAGGTTAAGCACGTCAACCTGACATCTCTTTTGAGCAAAGAACAGGCAACCACGACAAAGATAAGAGTTTCACAGTGCTGTGGCCGCCACTTATGAAGGAATCGGGAGTATTCGTGAGGAGCAACTCTTTTTCAGACGCAGTGAAGGACCCAGGCTTTATTCATCGGTGCGCGTATTAGCAGCCTCAACTTTCAACTTGAAGCCAGTGACCGTCGTCAGGAACAAAGTGTGGCAGACCGGGCGCACGTAAGGTATCAAGAATCATCTGCAGAGGACCGAATTCAACAGAAATTAACATTTTGTAACTCCCGTCCAGGCTCAAAATTTGTGCCACCGGGACTGGATGAATTGATCGGCGGGATATTTGACGGTTCCAGGTAATATTGAACAGATCTGCAATTAGGCCTTACACAAGAAGAGTTGGTGTTTCGTATAGAACGTTTTATTTCTAAGTACTGTGCCTGAGGTTCTTGACTTGCCTTAGGTTCTGCTATGCACGCGTTTCTTATTAAATTTCTGACAGCAAATAAACTAGCGTCGTTGTTTCCTCATGTTCACGTTCGTCATTAGCTTAATTACATTGTCGTTCAGTTCTGAACGACAATGTAAAATGTAAAATGTAAAATGTACAATGTAAAATTATTTATCACACGCACGCCTCCACGGCATCTGACCTCCTCACGATTTCATCTGTTGCATCATAATTACTTCGAGGTGCGCAGCTTCGAAGGCATTTGGCAGCCCTGATCCATTTCATTGTCAAGTGGCTTCCACTTGACGATGAAATGAGATCCACTACCAAGCACATTAAGTTAGATCAAAGCATGAATCGGATTAGTGGCTACCCTTTCACAACAATTAGATTCCCATGCTTCGTACAAAATTCTCTGTGCACGGACCTTTCATTGCAACCGATCTTCCAAAACAGTAAAGCAAGATCGACCTGGGGTCAACAGTCGATCAGGTCAATTATGTCCATGAACAGAATGTCTGACCCGCACAATGCGTGCTCGCTCCCTGCAATCCAGTCCCATCATTGTGCAGGGCGAAACAGTGCGCTCGCTGTGGCTCCAGCGGATCCGCAAGAGACAATACCTTGCTGCGACTCTGGCCACTTGAAACACGCACTTTGGGTAGTGACGTCGGCCCTCGCCCGTCGCCCAACCCATCCCGACCAAAAGAGGTTCTGCTCGTTGCACAAATGTACCAATTTCACATTTCAAACCTCCTGTGGCTAAGCGGCCCGCCACTACTTTCGTGGGTGGACTCGAAAGATGCGTGCAATCCTGCACAGAGACTGCACATGTCGTCGTCGGTTTGAGGCAGACAGATTGAATATAATCTTACATACTGGGGCCCATGTATGATTGTGGTCCACCGAGACTGAAGACCGAAGCTGACATGTTTGATTACGCTGTGCAAGCTCGCTCGAGTGCTGTAACGTGAACATGCTAATATCCGGATGCTGCTACCTCAAGCTGTCATTACTGCTCAAGCCTTCTCAATGTCCGACCACCCTGCATTGCCTGCATCGCTCACCACGAGCAGGATACGGCGGTGACGTGCAATCTTCAAGATTTCCTTGTATACTAAGAGCATGTCAGTGCAAAGATTCTCATGGCAGCAGGTGAGAAAGCCAACGAATTGAGTACAAAGCTGTGATCCACAAGCACAGGAAAATAGCTCAAGGCTGAACGGAGCTTTGCATTACGAGCATGAATGAGCTTTGAAACGAGCACTTTTAGTTCGTTGTATGGCATGATCGACAACATTTCACCTGATCGTGACGGAATATGAAGAGACTTGCATGCAATCATTGCATGCAGGCGATCAAGGGATGAAACATTTTTTCTTATTATCTTGGCAATCACATTCATTTGAGGAACGGGAAAAAAAGTCTCGAGTCTTGAGCGTGTAAGGACTTGAACAAACTATTGGATTCGATCAATTCAAGTAACTTGGTAAAAACTGTACCACTCGTCTTTCATATGATTTTCACGTTCTTACCTCCTCCACGTATAGCATGTAACATGGTAAACTTAGGCCCTTACCACACTACCGGCAGCCCGCAAGGAGCTCCTGGCTAGGGTAATAAAGAATCTTCGTAGGCACCCCTTGTCCAGGTGGACAAGGGGTGTCTACACCTACCACACGGCCGGCAGCGGCAGGGGTGAAGAGAGAGATATCGGCGAGAAGAAATAGAACTATCACATCAAAATTTTTCATGTCTCAAATCCCTAAACTTCAGTGCTCATTTTCTTCACTTTCCCAGTAGACTCTTTCACCCTAAATCATCTTCACCTTCTTTCCATAGATTGTCACAATGGACAATGACGTCCATAGTCTCATTTTCGTTCTTTTATTGCAGTTCACTCTGTTTTGCACGATGGAATCTCTTGATAGAGATCAAAGTATCATCTTGATGTGGAACTGGCATCAAACCTATTGCATTTCGATTATGGTGCAAAGATTCATGCTAGGGAGAGTCACAAGATCTCGACGTTTATGGGCCCATGATAGAGGGTTGGGGGAACCTGGGTTTTTTGATCGAAACTTACTCGGATCATTCAATGCGAGGGAGTTCAAGAGTCGCATGCGAATGGATGTTTCGAGTTTTGAGTTCCTGTGTTCCACTCTTGCGACTTCATTGCGGAGACAAGATACCAACATGCGCTCGGCTATATCGGTTCAAGTGAAGGTTGCGGTCTCCATTTCAAGATTGGCCACAGGTAACTCCATGCAGAGCATTGCGGATTTATATAGGATTGGTCTTTCAACAAGTCAACAGGCTGTTAATCAGTTCACTCATGCTGTGAAATTGCTACTTCTCAAGAGATTCATTCGGTGGCCTTCCACCACCACTATGGATAAATTTGCTAGAGAGTTTGAAGATATTCATGGAATACCGTATGTGGTTGGTGCGGTGGATGGTTCTCACATACCAATTGTGGCACCTAGTCTACATGCGGCTGATTATTACAATCGTAAAGGATTTCACTCTATACTATTGCAAGGTGTTGTATCTAGCAAGTGCCTATTTTGGGATTTTGACATAGGATGGGCCGGATCCATGCATGACGCTAACTTATGGGGAAGAACCGCAATTGGGCAATTTTGCGAAGCTGGAAAGCTTGCGCCTTATGCTTTGGTTGGGGATGCGGCCTACCCATGCCGCCCTTGGATGTTAGCTCCCTTCAGAGGTCACAAAGACGGGCTAACTCGAGAGGAATACAACTGGAACTTTGTTCAGAGTTCCACTCGTATGTGCATTGAGCGAGCATTTGGAATGCTTAAGGGTAGGTGGCGAATATTGTTAAAAGGAGTTGACGTGAAACTGAAGAACATGCCTGAGTTGGTGAGTACTTGCCTTGTGTTACATAACATGTGCATCATCCTAGGAGACAACTTCTGGAAAACAGAGTGGTTGCAAGAGGCATCAGATGAAGTGCACAATGGATTGTCACTTATGACACCTTCGGGTCTTGCGAGACAAGAGAAGCTTGCAGTGGCTAACCATGCTTTACATAGCCTTGCTGGAATTGAAGACAACTCTCGAGAAACATTGGAGTACTTCAAACAAAAGATCGCAAGAGAATTTCAAATTTCAATGACAACTTGAGGTAAAACTGCAAAGGAGTTGTCTGCAAGGCGGAACGGCATTGCCAGGAGTTTGTGGATGGCAAAAACAGGAGAGTGTATGGCGGAAACATTTTCCATGGACGTTGAGTAGTCTAGCCTAGTATTTGATGTTCGGTGCATTTTCTGAAGCTAGCAAGTAGTAAATTTTTTAGTGAACTATTTAGACTTGTGGCGTTAGACATCTGTTATGAGGATTAACGTAATATCTACATATAATAAAATCCACATCTACTGATCCAAGTACATGCTTCATAATCAGAGAAATCTATTATCACTCTAAATTCCATGCGCAATCAACACACTTTGAACTCATTGTTTCACCTTGTATTTTAATGCACTACTGACAAGTTAAGCAAAAGAAATCAGAACAGGTCAGAGAAATTACTGTACTGTCCTTCGGACAAGAGTAATTTTCTGGTTCTCATACTGATTAGTCATGACACCAGTCGTTCAAATTGGTGTACAAATGAATACAGACATTATGCTACATCAAGCTTGTACCTTGTACATGCTTCAACTCTATACAAATGAATACAAACATTACTCTACGTGAAAGCAGGCTCAAAAGTGCTAGAAGAATCAACCAACTTTAGTTCTTGAAAAAAGAAACAAACAGAACTCAAAAGGTTTGAAAAACCATCAAACAAATCAACAATGTATTAGTATGAGTATCACATTGTCATTTCATGTCGTGAAGACATAAAGAATAATCTAAAATCCATTTCTCTTACATACTGTACACCTAAATTATTCTTCAACTAGAGTTTATCAACCAATTTCTCCATGGTTTTTTGCATACTCATTAATAGTGCCATTTTTATATCATCATTGCTCTTCAAACTCTCTAGCATAATCTTACTACTCTCTTTCAGCTCTCCAAGACATCTTTCCAAGAACAAATCCTCTTTTCGTTTAGGCTCCGGTGATTTTGATGAACTCTCCCCACTTTTTTGCTCCTTTGTATTTGTCTCCGAAGTGACGCTGCACTTCACTCCATCTCCGTCCATAACATCGGCATGGGCATGTGAAACTACGTTTGCCCTGTCAAACATAAACTCGTCCACCAAGAGATACCATCGACATTTCTCCGATCGTTGCGATCCCGACTTCATATTCATTGCCTTGTCTTCTTTGTATTCGGTATAGATGGAACTCCATTTTTTTCTACATGCTTCACTGTCTTTATTGAAATCAGGACACATGGACACAAGCTTCGTGTGAAGCCGTGACCAATTATCGACACCTGAACAAAACATAAACGCATAAGAGTGTATTAAAAAACACAATCAAAGAGAATTGACATACACTAAATTACTAACTCACTAAGCATAGCTTTTATGATCATGTGCAGTATCTGTTTCTGATCAACTTCAAAACCAAAAGCCAAGACAAAAGAAGCGTGCAAACAGTCGCAGTTCTAGATATTGTACAAAGATATGTGAGCACATTTGTTCGTAGCACACAAGGTATACCTACTAGACAGAATCCATCAACTAACATAACGATGGGGAAAAAATTGACTGCTTCATGATGATTTTAGGCACTGTAGGCATACATGGTGTATGCAATAGAAAAGAAACTCTATAATAGAATCCTGTTGTATACCAGCTCGGAAATCTGTGACTCTTCTAGTAGATGCATTGTTTGAAGGCAATCTATATGCTACTATAAGTAAGCATGGAATGCAAATATCTGATTTGTACACAACTCTTGGCGGCCTGTGGCCAAGAGAAGCCTGAGAACAACCACCGGATCCAGTAGCATATGTATCCAACGTAGAAGAATTATCAACACCTAAGCACAAGCAACACAAGCTCGAAGTAGGTGTAACAAGTTGTGAAATAAATTTGAAAGAAAGAAATAAGTTCTTTCTGTTAAAATTAAGTGAAGTCAATCGGGTGTACATGTTTGCTGAGACATCAGAAACATAAAAAAATCGTGTATAGTGCTATGTGTGTGCTGGTACAAGTTACTCAGCCTTGGGGCCATATATAGCTAGAAGTGATTGGGATTTTCAGTCTACGTGCTGCTTACAATACAAGGAATGCCAGGATGTGTCAGGATGTAGGCATATCCCATCAGCACCCTCTTGTCAGGAAAGCACCAATGTCGCTGAGTTGAACCAATATCATGGTTGTCAAGAAATGTCACAGCTTTTTGAGGATTCCACCCTGTCACAATAAATAAGAGCGGGTGTACTGAGAAGAGTTGGTTCAACAGATCTTTGATCATCTTACCATGGTATCGACATTTCCCTACGACAGAGGAGTAGCAACAAGAAAACCACAACCAACTTCACCAGTCCAGACAAAGAAAAACTCAACGAGAACACATTTCGTCCAAATCGGCAGTATAATTGCAATAAACTGAACAAAGGCGGCTGGATCATCCCTGACGAACATTAATAAAAGGACATTTTGGGAACCATGCAGGATAAATAGACCCGACAGTCACAAGTATTCTAGCTGAGAACTGGAAGTAAAGATCTCTTGTGTGTATAATTTTCAGATATAGGTCCAATCGCGAAATCGGCTTCGACGTATTTAGAGGTCTGATACGAACATGTTGACTTCAGAGTGTTCTCAAGGCAAGGAAAGGCTGAAGTACTGACCAGAGGCACTTACACCCTGAACGCAGGTAACTAGAGAATAAAAGTAGAATCAGAAATAAAACAGGAGTATGCATAGCTTAAACTACAGGTCCTTTATTCTGTCAAACACAAACAGTACACCACCAGAGCAAGGTAAAGGGCAAGATTGATAAGAAATAAAGAGACAAACACTGAGGATAAGAAAGAAGACTGATGATGGAGACTTCCCTCTTAATGCACAAACAATTAAATGCTTTTTGGTTTTTACGGCCGTCAAACTGCTAGTAGAGGTGGAGGTTGTCTAAATTGTTACCACTTTAGACGGGCATTCGTAAGTCATAGTTGGTGGTACTCAATGTAGAAGTAATGTGTTGAATAATTATCTGGAACAAAGAAGTCTTAGTGGTATTCCCGCAAGAGATTAAATTTCAACAGGTTTAGAAGGTTGTGTTTTACCTCTTCAACTTTCAGACCCG